TGACTACCCATTACTTGCTGTCATGTCATGGCCTATCATGTTGCCGTACCGATGATCCAGGTTCGAATGTCAGAGAAGGCATGACTGTTGGTACGAATATAGTATTTGTTCCACAAGAGATCACTCAAGAAACACGGCTAACTCAAAGACGGCTAACTCGGTTTGCCGTATATTTTGAGCGGTAGAACAAGAGGACTGGAAGAATCTCGGACCGCCCTCAGGTGGGTGTTCTCCCACAAAACTGCGACAGAACTGCACAGATAGTGTGGAGAGACTATAACTGCAGGACCTATGGTGAAATTCTGGTGCCCCTTTCACTTGTACCTCTACTGTCATATCTTGTGATTACCTCCTCGATCCCAACTCTTATGGGCCCGTGACCCTGGAGTGTTGAACTTCATTGCATGTCCGAAAGCTATTTTCAGTTGAACATACGATGAAACCATAATTCTTACAGAAACTGAATTTCATCGAAATATTTGGATACTTGCACATATTAATTGAATACTATATTTTATATTATAAAGATAAAATATTATTATTAAAGTTAAAATTGAAGTGCAGCATTAATAATAATGATTGTATTTACATATTTAAATTATTTCCATACAAAAATGAAGCAAAAAGATACTCAAGAATTTACATATCCGTGTCTGCTGTATCTTACTGTATATGTATATAAAATTAAGCTGCTCGCACTGTGTGAAACATTTCTACACTCGAAATGCGCTTTGTAAACATCGCAAGTTTTACCATTTGTATGAAAAAATAGTCAATTATACTTACAATAACAAGATTAACACTAAAATCATTATATTCAATAACGTATCATGGAATTCGGAAATCATTTATGTGCGTTTAAAATTTCAAGTAAAAATTTTTCATTGTACCAAATATGAGACGGTGGGTCGCCAGTGACACTTCGCTCTAGTATTATGTTGTATAGGTTGGACCGACGGAGGGAAATCGAAGATATTAAAAATAACATTGACAGCATTTTCTAAAGTCGAGAACCGAACCCTTGATGTTTATTACTATCGAGTGTCTCACCAACTACCGAGCAGTGAAGTCTTAATCCGACAGAGGTCAATTCCTATTGAACGGGCTGACTGCATGCGTATTTTAGTAATTTTATCCATGTTTAACTTGTAGACAAGCCACCTTCCCTTACAGAGTCTTCCACGAAGGCATCCTTCCAGTTAGGCAGATAGTTTTCTTTTGTTTTGTTTGTTTTCTTTTCTTTTATTCTTTTGTTTGTCATAGTCAAAGAAACTAGGCTAAACCAAATCGCACCATTAATATCGTCTAATGACTTTAATCTCTCGTCTTTGATAGGCTCGATTTCAGCAAAATAAACATCTATCTAGGAACTTACCTAAATGTTCGAGTATCATAAAAGCAAATGAATAAAAAGTAATTTACATCCATTAAAAAACCTTGTGTCCGGATATCAGATTATGAAACATTTATTTCTTTTCAGTCCTTACAAAAAGCTTTCAATCGTCCTTTAAATCCTTATAATATTTAAGAGTTTTTACTTTTGAAATGTCTAAGTTCTTAGTTTATTTTGAGGCATTTGTTTCATTTCTTTCTTTAATAGGAATCATTCTGATCACTTCAAAATTCCCATTATACTCTAAAATTTTCAGCTTTCAGTGCTTTCTGTTAGCTTTGAGAATGGTGTTGGAAAAAAAATTAAACATAAATATGAATGCAGTTGATATACATTAATTACTTTTTTAAATTAAAGTTCTGTAATGTAATGTTCCAAGTTCTTGTTTGGAGCTTTTTTTTGATAATTAAGTGTTTCAGGCGCTTTCTTTCATTATATTTGGTGAATATTTTAATAACTATATTTTCCCAGTTTTCTTTCCTACGGAATATTTTAAAAGTTTAACTTTAGTCACACTTTGTTACCACAAGAATTCATTTATTTACTTAAAAGAGAAAATATAAGCAAAATAAATATTGCATGTATGTTTCTATTCAAAATTAATTTTTCTCAGGATATTTAAGCTGCAGTTTACAGTATACATTTATTTCAGCTGAAATAAATCTTTTAAGTCTGCTTCAAAGCATTCCTTAGAAATTCGTTTTAAAAACTGAAATATTAATTGCGTTTCTGAAGTAGTATTTCCTAAACTCTAGAAAGCATTCAGCATGCCTTTCAATAAATGCAGAATTTAAAAAAAGATAAATCTCAACATAAGAATGTAAAGGATATATTAGACGCTTGTAGAAATATTTGTCGTATATGTTATTTAAAATATATAAGAATCTGGTTAATATTATACCGGTTTTGCATCTTCAGTGCTTATACTTTTTGAGTTTTCTATGCGCATTTGTTTTGAATTTCAAAGCCTTTATTCTGGAAGCTTTAATAACGAAAAAAGAAGCACAGTATACGTTTCTAAATTAAAACATATTTGAAACAAATTTAGCGTATAGTTTTAGACAAATATTTTAAATACATGCAATTTTAAAATCTTGTGAAAAAAATTTACTTAATCTGCATTTGTATTCAATAAATTTTTAAACTTCCTAAAAATTTGTATGTTTAGTAATTACGTGTTTCACGCTGCGATGACAAAGCCCCAGGTTTTGAAATACACGAAATTGTCTTGCAAATATATTACGTCACTATGCGATGGAAGGTTTCTTAACTTTTATATATTTATTTTTCTAAATAATTTATTTGATACAATTACTACTTTACATCTGAAAGATTGAGATTCGTAAAAAATTGAATGAAAATGCAGAATTCACTTCAATTACATAGACTGGAATTTAAAAATTTATCTCCTTTATTAGTACAATAAAAGTACTGTTTTATAATACTTACTTTCCGATATACACGAATGAAATAAATGTAAAATATATGGAAACGTTTCGTTATCTGTGAGCGCAAGTATGAAATGGAACATTTGCGACAATTCATAAAAAGGTAATTTAGTCTCGTGCATCTACTTGTTCATTGTAGGGTACTGATTTTTCTCAATTGATTTATTTTTAATAGGTGACCAAAGAAAATGATACCATTCTTAGGACCTGTAATAATTCCTAAATGGGGTTTATAATCTTTGTTTTATAAAGCGTTAAATTACACTTTACACACATTTCTTTACTTTAAGATTTTTTAGGACTTGACCAATACTTACATAAACACAACAATTATATACCAATCATTTTAGATTTATTATAAATGTGTCACAAAATTGAATCAAATCATTAACCTTCGAAAGAAATCATTTTAAGATATGAATGCTTTACATGCTGTGGAATGACAAAAAGTATACAGTGATTACCCAAATGTACTACCTAGATGTATCAGAATTTAGAAATTAATAGGCTTTGCAAGAAATAACATGATCGAAGATTTCTGAAATCGATTGTGGGTAAAAAATAATAAGTGAATGTATCTCTCTCTCTCTCTCTCTCTATATATATATATATGTGTGTGTGTGTGTGTGTACGTAAGATAAAAATATGTAAATATAAATTATAATTTAAATTAGCAATAGCCCCGTAATTTTAATTTGGTATTTCTCCTCTCTATTCTAAAAACATATCATATGACTGTATTGACTTAACTCTGGTTACTTAAATAAAAATAAAACTCAAACAACCAATAATAATTTTGCAACATTATTAGTTATCCGGTTAAATGCATTGAAACCAAAAGTAACTCTTTCTGAATTAAGATTTCATCCTGAACACAAGGCACTTGCTTTCTGCCCCTTGGCCTAGACAAATGCTGCTTGGTGCTTTTTTCTGCAAACCAATATAAAAAATATAACCATTCTTCAATAGGCTTGGATAATAAGCAAAGTATTTATGGTCTCAAATGTTTACTAAAATAAAAAAAAGAATATTTAATCTGTCTCAATAGCCCAATTTGTTGCTCAGTTATGGACCAACATTTGTGCAGTCAATATTTATGCAACATTACAGCTAAGGAAAATATTTATGTACACATATAACTTGAAGGCGTGAACTTCAAGCTATATGTGTACATAAATATTTTCCTTAACTGTAATATTGCATACAGCCTGAGGCATTCATAGTAAAAATGGTACTTTTGCGTTTTGCTGGGGCAGGCGATAAAGTCGCCAGTAATGGTACAACTGATGCCAAACATAATATCCTCGCTGGTAACCTTTTACGCCTCACTTTCAAAACAAGTCGCAGCCATTTCTTATCAGATTGACTGTTTCTTTCAATACTGGCATACATAGAATTTTTACCAGATAGTTCAATTTTATGCTCTAAGGCCATTCGCGGTACTTAAGTCAATTAGAATGCAATCACACCGCTCACCCGAAGGCGAAAATATAGAAAAGGCAAAGTCAAGGATTAAATTCATCAATTCTAATGAGAATGCACTATAGCGAAGTAAAGCACTGCGGTTTTACATAATTTTTGAGTAAGCTATTCATACGAATTGGAATAATTCTTGCATTTAAACTTATATTTCAAATGAAGATTAAACTTGAAATTATGTAGATAATTACTGAGAGAATTAGATTTTTGTAACGTAGCTTACGTGAGATGAGATCACTTGGGGTCAAGTGATATGAACCGGCTAATCAGGATGTTGAACCATGAAAGCATAGTAAATTCTTAAATTAACATCTTTTTACAAACATATTGTCTTTATTTAATGGCTTTTTACAAAATTTTAAACGATATTAAAATGTTTATGCCTTCAAAATAAAAAAAAAAACTCTTAAAACTAACATTCGTTAAGATTTTTTATTTGTATATTGTATGTTGTCGCTAATAAAGTCTGCTTGGCGAGATTTGCACCGGTGAAACTTAAACGTAACTTAAAAATATAAATAAATTAATTATTCTCAATATAAAATGCTATTTTTTCTTCTTTCTGGTAATTTAAAAATTGCTAACAATGTTTTGAGTCACAGTTTATTTTTGTGTATTCAATATTGATATTGCATTAGTCATAATTTAATAATTAAAGGTGTCTTTTTTATCTTTCACAGATTCAGAAGAAACGAAGCAAGAAAAGTAAGTCAAATTCAAGATAATTGTCTTTAAATCATTTTTAATAAACTAGTATTAGAAGCATTATTTCTTATACGATCAAATTTTACCTAAGCAGTTTTATGCATGAATTAATGTGGAAAAGTTTTTAAAATAAATAAAATTCGGGAAATCAGATATTTCGTAACGGTTTCTCTTTACGTATTTGAAAATTAAAAACATTGAATGAAAAAATTAATTCCGGTATGAATAAATTAAAAATAAGAAACCTGATAATAATCAGAAGGTAAACAACTACTGAATGATGTGTTCACTTTCATGAATTAATATACAGTAAGACCCCGCTTAACGCTGTTTCGTTTAGCGCTGTTTCGGTTTAGCGCTCTTTTATTTCAACCCGGGGATTCCACGAAATCGCTCGCAGCATACGGGGATTCCCCAAAATAGTATGCAGCGATAGGTTTCAAATACATATCCGAAAGAGTGTACTTGTATTTCTTGTTTGGTGCGGTATTGTGCAGACATATTTTGAAGGGGTAAATGTGGAAGATGTCGAAGAAATAATTCAAGAAGCAGCGGCTAGTCTTTCTAATGATGAGCTCAAGGAATTAACTGAACAAGAAGAAAACAAAAATGTTGACAGCAGTGATTGAGAAGAAGAGCAAAAATAACTTTCGATGGCGTTTGTAAAAAGGAGTTTGTCTACCATAACTGAAATAATGGATCAATTCATTGAAAATTATCCGAATTTTGACAGGAGCTCAAAAGTAAGGCGTGGTGTTAGAGATGCTCTATCCGTTTATGAAGAACTTTTAAGAGAACAACGCAAAAGAAAAAGGCAAACAACATTAGATGCTTTTGTCACAAAAAGGCAGAACACTGAAAACGCGGAAGGCTAACTAAATATGACTGACTTAGAATTTTATTTGTTTTTTTTAAGAATATTCGTTTTATTATTTATATTTTGTTTTTATTTTTGCAAGAAATAATAATGTGGTATTAATTTGGGCTTTAAGAAATAAATGTTTGGTTTTATTTTTATTAAAAAAACATACTTTTTAAATTTAATACCTAACCAATTTCCTAGCCATCTTCCCCTAACCCCAATATTTACATGTAAAGATAGCCTCGTTTAGCGCTGTTTCGCATTACGCTCTAATTTGATGGAACGTATCCCCCGCGTTAAGCGGGGTCTTACTGTATTCCGAAAAATGGTGTATATCTAGGACTTTAAAATCATTTACTTATTTGAAAGCTAAATGTCCGTAAAGAATAAAGTAGCTAATTTCAATCGAATTTAAGCTTCAGTAACAACAGAAAATTTATCAACTTCTCCAATCTCATTGCAGAAAGATTTCTTCAGAAAAAAGGTACGATTTGATGAATATCATATATAAGAAAAAGAAGTTTTAAACACGCCACACTCATTTAACACGAAAATGTCATCAGTATGCTAATCTAAGAATAACCCCTGAAGCTAGAGTGTCGTTTTCTTTATAATGCTTCACCGAAAATTCATTGCCTTGATTCATAATAAAGTGTTATTGTAATTCTATTGTTTAATGCTCGAAGTAACATTTAGTGAAATTGTGCGATTGAGTAGAATTAATATATGATACTTGATGGCAAAAAATTCGCTTTTTTATCCACTGATTTCCTAAAGAATTTGCATTATGAATGTTAAAATGCAATAACAGCTTGTCTTGTTAAATCAACGAAAATGCGTAGATGTAATGGAAATACTGTTACAAAAAATATTCTCTTCAACAAAGTCTAAGAAAGAATTCTGTCCATTGCAGTATTTTCTGATACAAATACAGGAAATTGTATTCCTGATACCATACACAATCCTTTCCTTTATTTAACACGATTTCCATTTGCACGTATTTGAAACAACGCACATTAACTCTAGTTTATTTTACGTAACTCGAAATGAATTTTACTTGACAGTAAAATTCTATACAGTATTTTTGTAAAAATTACAGCTATGTTTGAGAAAAAATATATTTTTAGTTCGTGTGCTCGATCTCAATGATCTGTTGGAAGAGAGGTAATTTAGAGGTTTTTCATTCTGTAAAATCGCCTACATATACTAGGTGAGCCAAAATTAACTGTAATCAAAGGAATTTAAGAACATACGAACTGTAAGGTGGCACTATACACGTAGAAGGCAAACGCCTATTTACACGGGTTACGTGGGTTATTTAGCCCACGCTCAGTACGACTTGCTGTAATTCGTTATGTTGGATCTTGAAGATGGTGTTACGTATATTCTGTTCTAGTGCGTCAAGAGTTCATGAATCGTTCTGTTAAATCTTGCCCCTCAGGTTGCCACACAAATAAATGTAATAAGTGAATAATTCTTTCAGGATTGAACACTTTCTTTGCTTCTAAGGAGGCGTCTACTGTATTCGCCATCTTACCGTTGAATCCAATGGTATTTCAGTATACGCCATTAATCCATTCCACACCCTTGGAAGCATACTAGACTAAACGCATACCAAACGAACATTTTTTGAAAGAAATAAAGGGAAAATGATTAATCCGCTCTTACAAAAAATAATATGATTAATACTAAAATACAAACGCAATAGGTAAAATGCATATTATAACAGAAACGAAGCTCTGCACATCATGCTGTACATAAGTGCTTTTCTACTATTCAGACCAAAAGCAATTTTTCAACATGCTGTAACGTCTTCGATCTTCAGTAATCCATTTCACACTCCCGTCAACACCATTAGGTGGTTTAAGAGGGTCTTTTCAGAATCATGGACTCTGTCGTACTCGGCATACGGTTTGCAGCGATCACGTCCTGGATACGCACGTTATTTTCACACTTTTCAACAACCTCTTTTTTCACCTCCGTGGTGATCCTAACAACTTTTTCTGTTGTTTGATTCTTCTTATAAACTTTCCTAAAAATTACTGTTAATAAACTTAGAAAACTTTTTTTAAGCCAAAAATCAGAAAGTTACTTGAAAATTCAGAGTTACAGCGCGAGTTGTATACTGAATAGTAAACTGTATAGGCGGCATATTGTATGTGTCTGGTGTACCATTTCAAAATGCATATGGAATAAGGAAAATCTTTTATGTACTACTGCCGCCTCAATAACCTGTGATTAACGTTCAGTTACTGAAAGGCGAGACTGCAAAAATCAACACACTTTTCTGAAAACTTACGTCAAATATTACTGGAGAAACTTGTCACCCACGCGCTTAATCTAGGGTTAAATTCTAATACAGCATTTGGAAAACGTCTTAGAGATTACAAAAGTAAAATAAATGAATACAAAGTAGGTAATTTTTTATCTAAAACATGTTAAAAATCAAAATCGCGTTAGCTAGCCCACGTAAAAAGAAAAATTAAACGAAGGTTTTGTAAATTACGTATTAGATATTAGATAGCTGGTTCTATGTCTGATAAAACTGTTAAAATATATAAACATAAAATCTCATTTAGAGCTAAATGAGACATTAAATGGGAACTTTCTTTTAATATATCTTCGAAGAGTGAACCAAAGTAATTAATCTTTCTCAATGAAAATATTCGTATGCAGGCTTAGATATTTCCTCCAAAATAAATTATGCAAATAGTTTCCTGATAATTAGAGACAATATTATTGTTAAGCAAGAACAAATGTAAATGAATCAGTGTAAGCTATATACATATTGAATTGCAAAATAGTTAACAAAATAAATAAATGCTGGAATTTTTATATCTTTGGAGATTCTTTGTTGTTACCTAGTAAACAATGTTTACGTTATTGTATATAGTAAAGGTTTGCATTTCACTGAAAAGAAGGGTATAAATGAGAACATAACTGTTTCAATAATGCAGATACGTAAAATATTTCAAAATGGGATTCTCCAACAATAAATAACAATTGCCGAAGCATTCGTCGTCAATTTTTTATGCAAACGGGAAAGGAAAAACACTCAAAAAAAAAAAGAACTGGATATTAATTTAACTAAAATGATGCGCTTATCTTGTTACGAAAAAGGAAAATATATTGTTGCGTGCGTACGGATACGTAATAGTTTGAATGCATACAGAATTGATGATAGCGTGAGAGAATTTAATTACCCAAATGCAACACTTTACAGTTCTGGAATTTTGCACTGAAGAACTCGTACAGCAATCCTCAGTCTAATACAGGACAATCAGTAGTTACCACTTCGAACTAATAAAAACGTTGAACGCAATGGAATGCAAAGCGCAATGTAATGTAAAAAAGCGAAGCTCACAGGGAGATCTAACACTGAACTAAGAACTGACGCTCTGTCCGGATTATATAATTTTCCCCCTACCGCCGAGAAATCTCTAGTACCTTCCATTTCTTCAAATTACTGGAGGGCATATAAGGTTGAAGTTACATATACGGTTATAATTTCATACAGGGATGGATCAATTACAGTTACTCAATTACTGTACCAACTACAGTTACACAGGGACCGGATTAAAATGTCGCTAAGTCTGAAGACTTTTAAAGATTTTTTTTGCTGAACTTGGCGACATAAATTAGCCCCCAAAACCATCGCCAACTTAGCGATATCTCGCCAACTCAGCGACGCAGCTATCTACTTCAACAATATCTTCACCCTTTAACTTCATTTTTCTGTCAGAGCTTCGATTTCTGAAGCATTTCATATTACATTATACAAAAGATACTACAATTACACATATCATTTCACTAAAATTATTTATATATATTCAAAATTCGTAACAATATATTTTTGTAAAAACTTTGCTAAAATTAAAAAATTACAGCAAAATATTTTTACTTTCGTAGTTTTGAATCTACACGCTAATTGTTTTCCTGCTTGAAAAACGGAAATTATATAACACCTTTAACAATAAAAACCTTTCTTAATAATATACATGGTTATCAAATTTTCGTATAAAAGCAAAACATACTGCTATAAATGAGGCCGTAAATTTTTATAATTAGCGGATATTCATTATGCTTAAATTCCCGAAAGAGCAGTTAATTTTTATGCGTATTTATTTGATAAATAAGC